TCTGAAAACTAAGCTCTCAATATTCAAGTCGATCTTTATCCCCATACTTACCTACGGTGATGAATCGTGGGCCATCACTGAAAAACTTCGAACCCAGGTACAAGCTGCCTGGTGCAAATATATGGAAGGTGTTTGTTCCAGGCTCCAGTTGTCTTTCGCCGCAGCTCAGACTCTGACACAAGATCGGGAGCTTTGGAAGCTCTGTTTGACGCGTCTGCCTCCGCGACCCGAAAGGAGAAGCGGCGATGGAAGTTGAAGAAGATAAATTAGTTATGAATAACGGTTTCTGTTAAGCGTTCCACAAATCCCATCTCGATTGTAAACAGCCAAAATAAACAATCATGGCCATAGTCATTTTCATAAGTCATGACGATGTGTTGCACAGAGTGACAAGTTCGGCTACTGAGGCTATGGCACTAACCCATGACATGCCTCGTAAAGCATGTGAAACCTACTCAGGCCTGCTTAGCTGAAACATATTCAGGCTGCAGATCTGGACGGAACCACCTTGAATCACAGACTGTGTTAATTATATCGAAAGGGCACTTGACTCTGCCGCAAGAGTACCGGATCAACTGGATGTTAAGATCACAATAGCAGCAGTGACAACTGCGTGGATAACAGCATTTGAATTGGATCACCGCGGTGTAGCCTTTCGAATTCCAATCGTGGGAAGATGAAACCGGGAAAACATGACATGGCGACCTTCGACGGGATGCATATACTTAGTTGCGACAGATGCCATGAATTTCCGAACCTTTCGCTGCGAGGGAGGAGTAAGCGAGATCGAGAGAGACCGGTATCCAATCTGGTCTGTTCCGATTACCGCTTCCCATTTCAGGTGCGGAAGCTTGTCCCTCAGACATAGACCATAACGACCTCGATCCCATGCCAGCGTTTGAGCTTCAGCAGAAGATATCCGAATATGGAGCTGAGTCCCTAGAGACGGTTAACCCAGGTTTTTCTTAGCCATACCTAGGTTTTACAGCCGGTCGGTTAGCAACTATTAACTCTCTTGCCCTCCATTCTAGAAGTATTCGCAAGATGCTGTGACTTCTAATCTTGAGAAGCCGTCGCTGTACATCAAAACCCTTTCGGATATCTCGGAACTGGACCATTTCGACACGCGTTAGCCCAGCAGTCTCAGATAACCCATTTCAAGCTCTGGTATCCGGGATCAAAGATTTTCAATAATGATCCACGACTAATGACAGTAGATGAGCATCTGGATGAAGATCCATTTGAATAGAGATACCTGAGTCTTTAGACACAGCTTTGCGTCAGCCACATCTTTAGTTCAAGCAGAACGCCACTGGCTATTCCAATTCGCCGGTCGATCTCGTCCTCGCATTTTCCGTCATCAGTAAACACGACCCCGAGGTACTTGAACAACTCCACCTGTTCATTGTTCCTCTGCTTATCTGAAGAGTTCAATACAAGAGAAGGAGAAAGGAGTAGGCGATCCCTTGTAGACACATTCAAACGCATGTAATCCATATAGCACTGCGCTGCAAATCTTTTCATAGAGTACTGGAGGACAGTTTCAGGAGATACTAACAAAATGAGGTTGTCTGCAAACAGCAATGTTCTCGACTCCACATCTCCTACTCTGATAAACTCGTCGGCCTGATTTCATCTGACTATATATCGATGTACAACATAAAAACTGGAGAGGGACAGAACGCAGTTTTGGCGGAGATGCTGGAAGGCTTTGAATTAACGTCATATGCTCTGACAGGCTATCAACATATAGTGAGTGGATCGCTCTTAGCAGCTGATCAGCATTCCAATATGTTTTCAGGCATGCTCATAACTTACTGCGCCGTATCCAGTTATAGACCTTCTCAAAGTCCACAAAGCACAGGTAAACCGAATGAAAGAATACCCACGATTTCTCAGCGATCTAGGGAAAAAATTGAAAAAATACATAACATTAATTTGAACATATTAAAAGAATATTAAATCGAAATAAAAAACATTAACGAAACATACAACTAATGAGTAGAAAAAGACACTCACTTAAGGAAACAACAACTACTGCTGCTTCGGCTTCGGTTAGTCATCCCGCCTGAGGTCCTACACAGCACACCCTTGCCCGATAAATGGGAGACGATCAGCTACAGCATTGTGTTCTGTATCCTGGGTGCTATTGGCTCATCGACCATTGCATCAACCATCCACGTGAACACGTGATCAGCATCTCGTCCAGTCCTTTCACATATACGTCTGATCATTGCGCGTTGTTTTGCTCTCCGATGTTGTGTTTTTTGTGAAAGATTCGTAAAAATTGAATTTATTTCACGTCTTATGATTTCTCCC